GCATCCCTGGGTGCCACCCCGCCCCAAATGCCAGGGGCATCCCACACCCTCATTCTGAGGATCAAAAATGCCCCCCCACCCCACATTGCTGAGTGTCCCCTGGAGAGCAAAACCAGCCCTCTTTGGGTGTCACCGCTTTAGTCCCTTATTTTGGGACTACACATTGTTAATAAAATATTGCTTTCTCTCCCTGCATACGTCTATGAAGAATGCAGTGATGTGTCTGATACAGACTGTGGCTGGCTGAGTGCTGGCACACACCTGGCACATGGGCTTTTCTTTAAAGTTTTCACAGATTAAAAAAAAAAAACCAAGGTAGATGTGAGATAAAGAATGGCGTGTCTGGTGACCCTTTTATGTGGCCAAACCTCTTGACTTGTGGAAAATTAGGAAGGTGAGAACGTTTTAATGGTCTGATGTGCAACAGGGTGCCTGGACTTGAGCCTCCTGTGCCTTGCACATAAAATCTATGAAGAGGGAAGATCTCATGTTACGTGCTCTGACCACAATAAAAAAAAATTCTTTTTAGAAAAAGAAATTCTGTTAAGCTGAAGAGGGAGCAGCCACCTCTGCTTGTCCTGTGTGGTGAAGGGAGGTATATTATCAAGAAATGCAAAGTGCCCTTCTCTGGGTAGGAATGTGGTGGGGTTATCATCAGGTTTGAGAGAGAGAAAAATAAAAACAAGCCCGTCACCGCTGCCATCGGTCCAGAGCCCTCCGAGGTTAGCGCTGCAGCCGCCCACTTATCTGCTGTGCGACAAATAACCCAACAGGCATAAAGCGCAAACCAACTGGGATTTTATGGTGCCCGTTACCATCCAGAAATCGGCTTAACGCTGCTTTCTGTCTGGGAGTTGTCTTCAAAATGGGCTCTCTCACCCTAATCCCTAAAACCATGGCAATTCCAGGGAATTCAAGGACTGGTTACCCTTGCAGCTTGGAGCTCGTCTTCAGTGCAACTGTGAAGTCGCTCTGATGTTCGGCCCCCTGTTTGGGGACATCGGTGTGTCCTTGCATGTGGGCTAATGTCCTTGGAAGCAAGAAAAACACGTCAAAGTGGAGAGAAAGACAAGAGACGTTTATTTCCGCCTGGCTCTGACTGCTTTCGTACGCACGCAAAGGAGCTGCGCCAGGTCACAGGGAATCACCCTCGTGTCATCTGTCTTGAAGTCCTAACAGGAACCCCCTCATGGTTTTGAGCTTCCCTCTGTTATGTTCTCATCAACCATTTGGCCCTCTGATAATCACCGGGGAAAGACAGTGCATGTGCTGATTGCGCTTCCCTTAACTTCGTAAGTGTGCAAGCAGGTCTGAGGATGACTCTTTGGCACGCCTGGCCTGCCACATTCCTTTTCCCGGCGTGATGGAAGGCAGCGTCGGGTTTCGGAGGCGCTGCTCTTAGATCTGCTTCCCTCCCTGTCGTAAGCTTTCAAGAATCGTATCATTTACTGCGTGGCAGCTCGGAGGAAAATATGCAGAGTGGTTGGGGGTGCCCAGCTGAAACCTCCTGGCGTGTGTGAGAACAGACGAACCTACAGTCGGGTTTGGGGGAGGTAAGAACAATGTTCTGTTATCGGGAACATCATCCTGTCAGAACCTCCTCATTTCTCATAACTGTACGCAGTGGGTGAATAAATTAAGAATGCATGAATGGATGGAACAGAAAAACCCGAACTGATGTATTTTTTTCCACCTGGATGTTAAATCAAGCCATGTGGGCGTCATGGGTGAGCACATGGCTCCTTCGGCCGCCTCCCACTCCCTTGAAGGCTCGTGGGCTTTCGTGATAAAACACAGCCAGGGTCTCTTTCTCAATAAAGTCTTTTAAAAAAGTAAAAAAGGAGGGAAGCCTTTGAACCCACAGCGCTCGGGGAGAGACGCAGACACGCAGGGACACGTGCGGTGGGATCCGTTCATCAGCAGTGTCCAGAGCAGGGGCATGCATGTCGTGCTAGGAGGGGATGGGGAGCTCATGGGGACGGGGTGGACACGTCCTGGAACTGGACACTGGTGGTGATTACACAGCTTATGAATGCCCTAAAATGCCCCCAAAGTCATCTCAATTTAAAAAAAAAACAAAAAAAACAGACACAGAATCAAGCCTGCCAGCTCATTTCTTCTTCAATCCAGATTTTGCAAGCCAATAAAAGAGAAGACCCTTCTGAGCTGGCAGGCTTCCCGGGGAGCAGAGAACCGTTGAGAAGTCATTAAATATGTTAGAGCACACTCCAAGTCCAAGTCAGGGTCACTCGGCACGCAGACAGGGTCCCCAGAAACGTCCTCTCAATGCCTTAACGTTGTTGAGGAGTCAGCCCTGGAAGGACGTGGACTCAAAGGCCAGTGGGACACTGTAGGAAATGGGACTGGGAGGGACAAGATGACTGTGGGGTGAAGGCCTGGATTCTGGGATGAGACAAAGCCTCTCCTTGGTGACTCACACTGACAGGTTGTGTGTTCTAAAATATTTAATTATTTCTAAACTGTAAGTAAGTGTTAGCCAGGATTTTCCAGGGAAACAAAAGTAGGATGTGTGTGTGTGTGTGTGTTTATATGTATACACACACACACACACGTGTATATGGTTAGGCAGATAGATACCTATATATGCACATCATTTAGCATCTACGTCTATAACCATATCTATGCGTCATCTGTATTGTGTTTATGTGCATCTCTCATCTATCTGTCTATTATCTGTCTATCATCTATCTACCTGGTGTGTCATCTACCTACCTGTCACCTGTCTCCGTCTCTTTATCATGTGCCTTTACGTACGTATGTACCTGCTTTGTGTGTGTCTGTCTACCGAGATTTATCTTAAGGAATTGGCACACATGGTAGTGAAGGCTTGGAGAAGCTAAACTTTGACAAGCAAGCCAGCGGGCTGGAGATTCAGACAGACCTGGGGGTTCAAGGCCAAGGTCACCCACTGCAGAATTCCCTCTTCTTCAGGGTGGGTCCGTCTTTGCACCATGCAGGCCTTCGGCTGATTGGATGAGGCCCACCCACATTATGGAAAGCAATCTCTCTGCTTTACTCAACGTCCAAAGATATGAATGTTGATCTCATCTGAAATCCACCCTCCCAGAAACATCTAGAATAATGTCTTAACACCTGGCAAACATCTGGGGGGGGGGGTGCCATCGCCTAAGCAAGCTGACACTTAAAATTATCCCTCCCATAGTAATACACGCTGATTCACAACAGCCCAGGAAACGAGGGTGTAGGTGTCTGTAGGGGGAAATTCTGTCCCCTAGGGGACACTTGGCCATGTCTGGAGTTGTCACCTCTGGGAGGAGGAATGCTGCTGGGATCTAGTGGGTGGAGGCAAGGAATGCTGTTCACTATGTCATAGGGCACAGGATGGTCCCCTGGAGGGAACGGTCTGGCCCCAAAAGGCAGTCATGCTAAGATTGAGAAACCCTGATGCAGAGCAAGCGACATAAGTTGGAAGAGACAGATAAACATATCAGAATACTGTTGATTTTATGTGACCAGTTCCACGGCACTGCAGTTTGTTTTTGAAAATTAAATGTCTTTATTAGACATTTGCTAATGCATTCTGATATTTTTCCATGTTACAAAAAGGCATCTGTCTATCTCTCTCACATTCTGTCATCCACCCATCTGTATCATCTATCTATCATCTATTATCTTCCTTGGTTTATGTCTATCCGTTCATTCATTATTTTTAAACCTGATCTGGTATTTCAAACCCTTGTAGAAAAAACTGTGATGCAACTTTTCTGCAGAAGAACAAATCCGTGAGAGCCACAATATTAACATTCTTCTCATAAAAACACATTCATAGGATGGACAAAGAACGTAACAAGCATTTTCCAAGCCCATCCCAATTATAGATAATTCTGGGGTTTCCAAAGAAGTGACCTGTATGGGCCTGGAAAGGCAGAGAACTTTCATATCCCGTATCACATTCAGTGAAAGTGCAGTTGGTTTAAAAATACATTTTCATAGGAATACAGAGCTAATTCTTTAACTCAATATTGTCTTTTATTTTGAAACAGGACAAGATTCCAAATAAAAATTCCATGCTTTGATGAGCTGACTTAAATTTAAAAGCCCAAGTTAAAATTGATATCACAATGGGAAGAGCACGGAGCCCCCTTGGGCACCGTTGGTGGGAATGTAAATCGGTGCGGCCACTGTGGAAAAGCAGGACAGCGGCTCCTCAAAACATTAAAAAAGAGTGCTCCCATCCGGTCCAGCAATCCCACTTCTTGGAGTATATCCAAAGGAAATGAAAAACACTAACTTGAAAAGTTTTCTGCACCCCCATGATCATAGCAGCATTATGTACAGTAGCTGAGATGGGAACAAACCTAAGTCTATCAATGGATGAACGTTTAAAGATGCATGTCTATACAATGGAATATTATTCAGCCATAAAGAATGAGGGACTCCTACCGTTTGGGACAACATGAATGGACCTTCAGGACAGCCTGCTAAGTGGGATACGTCAAATAGAGGTAGACAGGCCATGTATCATATCACTGAGGTGTGCAATCTTTAAAAGAAGAGAAAGTCATAGAAAAAAAGATGAATCTTTGGCTGAGCAGAGGGAGAAAGTGGAGGGAGGGGTCTTGGAGGATGGTGGCCAAGCATACACATGTCCACGTGCAACAAATACGTCCTAGGGATGTGACGCACCACACGGGCACTGTAGCTAACACTGCTCTGGGATGGACAGGACAGTTGAGAGAGTAAATGCTCACAATTGTCACGGCAAGGACAAAGCTTATTTCCTTTCTTTTCCTCCTATTATCTCTCTGAGAAGGTGGATGTTAGTTGAAGCCGTTGGGACAATCATTTCCTAGTATACCTCAATCGAACCAGCACGCCGTACACCTTAAACATATATAGCCATGTTGATCAGTTCTCTCTCAGTGCGACTGGAAAATATTGGATAGCCCAAAATAACTGCTTGTAGATAATACAGAGATCCTTTCACCAAAAATAACAATGGGGCTCCTTTTGTTTTTAATGTGAAGTTGTACTTTAATAACATGAATTTATCCCTTGGCTTCGAATCATCTCTAGGGAGAAGAGAAAATACATTCATGCTGAGAAGACAGCATTGAATTCTTTCCACCCAGCTTGCAGTCCTCATGGTCTGTGAAGAACAGGGCATTTGACTGGATGATTTTCAAAGCCCTGTCAAGGTATGTGTTCTAATATTCTCATTTCAAGACGCAAAAGGGATATCTTACAGGAAGAATCGGTAAGTGAGAGGGTCCATGTCACTGTGGAATTGCCAGCATTTGGACAGACCCTTGGAACAAGCGTCTATGTGAGACTCGGCTGCTCAGTGTGCTGGGTCACATATGTAACTGAATGCATGGGTTTGCATCTCAGGGGTGTCTCTGGGGTGACCTGCTGCCTATATGGGGTGGCAGGGAGGGGTGCTGTAGGAATGTGCATGTCCCCCCAGAGTTTGTTTGTGGGAACCTGACCCCTGGGTTGATGGATGGATGGTGGGTGGGTAGATGGATAGACGGGAAGATAGGTGGGTGAATGAATAGATGGGTGGGTAAACGAATTGGGTGGGTAAACGAATAGGTAGGTAGAGTCATTGCAAGACCGGGTTATTCCACCTCAGTGATGACATCTGGAGCGGGATGGCTCCCTGGGGTGGGCATCCTGTGCACTGTGGGGTGTTGAGGTGCATCCCTGGTCTCCACCCCACCCCGAGATGCCCTCCAAATTGTAAGATCCAAAATTGTCTCCAGATACTGCCAGGTGTCCCCTGGGGATGCAGTCATCCAGGTCAAGGAGCGTGGGGCCAGATGGACACAGGACCACTTAGAATGTGGTGCATTTTGTCTCTGCATGGCCAGCACTGGGACCAGATGAGGCCATGTGCAGAAGTGTTTTTCCCCATTTCTCTGCTTCTTTCAGGGGCTCGTTTCCAATGCTTTGGAAAGCCCCTGGCTCTCCGAGGAGGCTCACATCTTCCTGGCTTCGTGGATCCAGCAATTAAGTGTTGCCACATTCTTTTTCAGTTCTGACAATGACTTGTGGAATCAGGAATAAAAAAATAAAATAAATCAAGCAGAATAAGGCAAGGGAAGCCTTGACTCTCATCTGTTGCCTTTAGGGGCCTTTGCTCTCCTTGAGATATTTTCGAGTATCATAAAATTGTGTAGAAACATCAGGCATTTTTCTGTAGTTGCTGCAGGATCGTATCACATCGTGGTCCCAGCGGATTTTGCAAACCTCTTTAAAGCTACGTAGGCCAAAGGGATTTGGACGCGATGAGTCTGAACATTTAAAAAAGAAACTTTATTGTTGCCTAATCTTTGCAGGAAAGAAGAAACCACACTTTGTAGTCCTTTGAACTGCAAACGTATCGGTCACTTGGACACAGAGTATTTGCTGGTATGGCGGATTGCCGTTTTGTGGACGATCAAACAACGATATAAATTAACTAGAAACATATGCAGGTTGACTTTCCTGCTCTCTTTTTACTGGAAACACTCCATGTACATGTAATCGCCCCCAAAATATTTTTTTTTGGACTAGGTCCACAGGATCCTTTCGGTTCAGAGTCCCCAGGAGAGGGCAGTGCATGCCACAACCCTGCTCTTTTCCTCTGGGATTTGGGAGCTGTTTTTATTTTTCTAGTAGATTTCTCTCCCTCTGCTTTAAAAGGAAGTTTCTCTGGGAAATTGTTTATAAATTTTTTCTTATATTTATTATTAGTTATTTTATAGAATACGCACAGTGCACCCATGCTTTTGCAATAGCTGATCGTTTCACTTCACCCACAAAAATCCAAGGGACTTGAGTTTCCTCATCCACCGAGTTTCATATTCTGCTCAGATGGAAACACGAGATCACTTTTTTAAAAAAATGAAGCAGTGTGTGAGTTACTGCAAGTGAGGATTCCTGTGAAAGGGGTGCAAGCACCGAAACCCATGTGCCTTTGGCATCTGTGGACGGTGTTTTTGAGCAAAAGTCGGATCCTCAGAAAAGGTTGCCGTTCCTTGTCCACGGGGAAAGTAGTATCATGGGAAAATCAGAAACGCTTGCTCTGTCCAAGCGTTAGGTTTTATAAAGAAACCATAGTAAAATAGGCATCGTCAAAAACAAAATAGAAAGGTGAAACTTTGCTTAGACAAGTCCCTTAAAACAAATCTCCATTAAAAAAGAAAACTTAAATTGTAAGTCTTTTGAGGGCAAATGAAAGACCTACAGTTGTTGCATGCCATCAAGTATTTAATGATTGCCGCACGGACTATCTTGATGTCTGCATTGTTTTACTAATCAGACTGTAGTAACTGGGTGTGCCTAGTGTTCAAGAGAAAGCGTGCCACGTGAGCATTGTGCAGCATAATCACGCCGATACGTATTTCTCCTTCATTCTTTCCTACTCTGGTTTTTTTTTTTTTCACCTTTTTCTCCTGTGAATGGGCATGTTACAGATTAAAAAAGAGCCCTGTGTAGATGAAACATTTCCCGATGATTTTTGTACCTAGCCTCAGACCTCAGCCTCTAGCTACACGTCATTCTTTTGGGATCTTTCTCAAGATTTTCCCTATCTGCCACCACTTCAGGCTTCACAGCTTGGTCACCCATCTAGTTGGGGATCTCTTAGCCACCCGCGCTGCCTGGTCCATGTCTCCCTAGTTTATTTTATACATATCCCGGGAGCAGGTCATCCAAGAAGATTGGTGGACTCCTAAGGGACCTTCAAGATTCTTCTGGGCTCTCTAAAAATACATGAATTAAGTTCAGAGCATTAACACACCTACTTCCAGACCAGTCATTGTCCTATGTCATAAAAGCAAAACCTCACATTTCCAAGCAGTCCCACGTTTTAAGTTGTGAAGTAAACAGACTTGGATAATATTTAGGTCTGAGCAAAGTGCATATGTCGGTAAGGCGCTCGGAGTTTCTCGTATTTTCTGAATTTTAAAAATAATCTCAGTCAGGTGGATTTTCTGAGCTAGTAGGAGCCTCAGAAACAAGGTAGTGCCGTGCACAGCAAAAGTCATGCACAGTTCCCGTTCATTGCTTGCAATGGTAAAATCTTAGAAACAAATCAATGTCCATTCACAGCCTCGACTAGGACACACAGTGAAAATAAATGAAGTGTGACTTAATGTATCCTTAAGAAAAATCTCAGAAAATATATTTTGGCGAGAAACAAAGTTGCAGAGGGTTATAGAAACATTTATAGGATGTACGTGTGTACAGGGAAGGTTGATATTGTTTAAAAATAAGTATGGATGGGGTGAAATACGAAAGCAAGGATGTGAATGATAAACCCGTCCTTTAGCATTCTGGTTGACGCTTGCAGAGGTGACAGGAAATAGTGTGTGACTGGTCCTATCAGCCACTGCCTGCATGTCTACATATCCCGTGTTTTTCTCTGAAGTTCCTTGGGCATTTGTTAGATTATCCTTAAACTCTTGTTTACACTAACTCAACAGCCCCCTAGGGAACCTGGAAATTTAATGGCATTTAACCAATGCTCCCCAACATCTAAATGCAATATTTGTATAAAACACCCAATTCAGATAGAGACCATGTGAAGAGATAGGAAATTAAAGTCTTCTTTATCGAAATAAACAACCACTTTCTGAGGTTTGCTTAGGACAGGTTTCCAGAATAAAACCAAACAGGAAACAGTAACTAGACAAAAAGTCTATGTCTCTCTCTCTCTTTTTTTTTTCAGTCCCTTATTTTCCTCTTGGACGGACTCCCTTGTCAAAAATTACATTTTGGATGGTCTTGCATTTGGTCTGAAAACGGCAGTGTTATTCTTTATAAAAGATGGCATGAGTTACTCTCTGTCTTTCTTCCTCTGACTTTACACTTCCGCAATGCTCCCAAATTTCACCCAGACAGAGAATTGTCATGGCCGAGCACATCTTCTTAGAGTTTCAGGAGCTAAAACCCTCCCAGAGGGCTGAGTGGCTTAGAAGGAGCAAAGCGCATCTCAGCAAACCCCACCTTCCTCAAGAACATGGTCCACACTGAGCTCCAGACCCTCCAAGTGGATTCTGTACCCTAATCCAGGCATTCACCCCATGAGGGCCGGAAGGTGGTAGGTGTTCAGCATTTCACACTTGACTAGCCTTTGGAAAAATATCAGGCACTCCTGTTCTAATCCCCAGACGTGTGTTGCTTTGACAGATGTCCAGGTATGAGTATAGGATGATTGTGCCCCATTCGGGCATGTCAACTGGACCCATTGGCCAGTCGTAATAACTATTCAGTGTGTGATCCCGTGCACACCGGCTCATTGGCAAATACTGACGGGCCTCCTCTTAAAGTTCAGTTTGGTTTGGATTCGTAAATACTTCTTCAAGCCATGACGTCGGGCCACAGATGAGTCAGCTCTGAAATAAAAATACATCATGCGCCATTATGCTCAGGGATTCAGTCCCTTATTTTCCTCTTGGACGGACTCCCTTGTCAAAAATTACATTTTGGATGGTCTTGCATTTGGTCTGAAAACGGCAGTGTTATTCTTTATAAAAGATGGCATGAGTTACTCTCTGTCTTTCTTCCTCTGACTTTACACTTCCGCAATGCTCCCAAATTTCACCCAGACAGAGAATTGTCATGGCCGAGCACATCTTCTTAGAGTTTCAGGAGCTAAAACCCTCCCAGAGGGCTGAGTGGCTTAGAAGGAGCAAAGCGCATCTCAGCAAACCCCACCTTCCTCAAGAACATGGTCCACACTGAGCTCCAGACCCTCCAAGTGGATTCTGTACCCTAATCCAGGCATTCACCCCATGAGGGCCGGAAGGTGGTAGGTGTTCAGCATTTCACACTTGACTAGCCTTTGGAAAAATATCAGGCACTCCTGTTCTAATCCCCAGACGTGTGTTGCTTTGACAGATGTCCAGGTATGAGTATAGGATGATTGTGCCCCATTCGGGCATGTCAACTGGACCCATTGGCCAGTCGTAATAACTATTCAGTGTGTGATCCCGTGCACACCGGCTCATTGGCAAATACTGACGGGCCTCCTCTTAAAGTTCAGTTTGGTTTGGATTCGTAAATACTTCTTCAAGCCATGACGTCGGGCCACAGATGAGTCAGCTCTGAAATAAAAATACATCATGCGCCATTATGCTCAGGGCTATTTCCGTGGACCACGGAAGTTGGCACCAGTATCTACAGGAACTTACCACTGACGCAGCAAGTG